TGGCCGATGGTGCATTTTTTGGAAGAAAGTCCATTTTTATTGGCCAAAACCAATACCGATCCGAAGCCTCTGTCGGACCCTCAAGTGAAAGCTAACGCCAATTGCGGATTAACTATGATATATTAACTGGGAATTAATTCTCAAGATGCGTTTTTCAGTCCAAGGCTTATTCATCCTCGAGCAGTAGTGAAATTGGACTACAGGGCATGTATTGGTTAACTAGCCCGTTTCGCTTGAAAGTAAGTTTCCACAAATGGCATGAAACACAGACACAAAACACCGGACTTAAGTCCATAGATATAGCTCTGCCACATCAACAACTATGGGTTAGTTAACAGGCACTTGAATTCAAGAGCAACTGACAGCTGATCTCCCTTACAGTAGGGGATCCGGACTTATAAATTTCGTTCACATATCGTAGCAGATTGGAAAAATTATTCTGTGGGTGCTAGAAAACATGGATTGTTCTTATATAAAAAATAGGTAAATCAGTTCAGTACGAGAAAAAAGCGATTACATACAAAATAATTTCGAAAAACAATAAACGAAGAAAGTGAGGTGTCAAAGTAAAGCTTATTCCCCCGTCTCTCAAAATTAGAACCTATATATCAATGGGGTCTCAAGTTTATACACTCTTGATAACACATATTCAGCGAATATTTTTTTATAAGATGAATCTCTTTTTTGAGAGTAAATCTTGAGCGATCCACTCCATGAGAAAAAGTAATAAGTAGGAAATAATTTCCGACAAATTGCTACAGAAGGGCAGGAGTTCGTTTTTCTCTGTATGATCTACCATTTATCTGCCAGACCGTCTCAAAGGTGCTATTGCTAGAAATCGCAAACCTCTTTAAATTTTCCGTAAAATATAATATGTAAGGAATTATTCTTCATAGAAGCTTTGATTTGACAACTTGCTTTCCATGACTGATGATGTTCTTCAAAATTGCGTTGCTCTATACGTGTTTTCCTCTTGCTAAAAGAATTATTTTCTACTCAATTCCCTTATTAGAACGGTTCCATCTTTTTCTAGAATGCCAGCACCTACAGAATAACATAATTTTTTCATCCTGCCACTGAATTGATATGGACGGATCTTAGACTATTGGAACCTGTCAATTTGGAACTAATCTGGATTTTTATAACAGTGCAAAGTTTATCATTTTCCAATTTCTCTGAAGAATTATGAATTTTGTTTTTATGGTGTTTTTAAATCCTACTCTATTTCTGTCAAAAGCAGATGCAACTTTACATTCGTATCAACTTTAGAAAAGTTTTGCAAAACGGGAGCAGATGAAAGGTTTATCTAAAACATTCTCACTCCCTGCTGAGGTAACTTTTGACATTGGAACGGTAAACATAAAATAAGAATTTCGTGTCAAGGTTTTAGAAATATACAAACTAGAGAAACCCATAGGCAATTTTTAAATGAAAGTAAGTGAATTTATGCAAGCTTACCTACCTTAGACATGACTGGAACGTCTTTCAAGGCCGATCCAATAATGTGTAACACACTAATCCTATTGACTAATAATATAGATTTCGTCCGTATGATCACAGACGGCCAACCATGGATAGCTACTTCGGCTTTTCCGGCAACTCACCAGCAAGGTCTACGCTTGATCTCAAGTGAAACAACGGAGTATAAGGTTTATCAAAATTTTCTGAATTAAACCAAACATATTCCAAATGCTCGTCTTGTAAAAAATATAATCTAACGCAAGGCGGGTTGAAGATAGTTGGCTCGTTGTGCTGTCTATTTTATCCTAAGGTACATCCAATGCGCGATTAAGGTAAGCTTGCACATATCTGCTACAAGAAAGATAATGCTTTCCTAGTAAAAACGAGCGCTGAGGCACAAGACTAATATTTTCTTCATATGAATGATTTGCCCGGTTCATTTTTATTCAAAGTGAATCGTTTCGCACGATCGAGCCTCGATGATGATGATGATGACGAGGTGGCCAGCCAGACCGCGACCAGTCCCAGTTCAGACCATCCTCTGGCTATACGCGCCATAATTACATGGGGCCATTTATTATCGCCACCGGGATATCGCCCTTATAATTAATCAACCATTTATCACGCAATTACCTATGCCCCCTCTCCGCCTCGAGCATGCAGGTATACCGATTTAATTGTTATTGATATGCTTCGAATATCTCAGAATAATCAGGGTATCAGAGATAATCTGAGATGAGATCGAAGACATGAGTACCGAACAAGGCAGTTTTTGTGAAGGTCAGGAACAAAAAGTGACATTAAGATTTTTAGTTCAACTCGTTTTATTGACATGCTTTTATTTAACTTGACCTGATTGTTAGTATGTTATTGTGTTAGTATGTTAGTATGTGTGGGAGAAACCTTGGGAACACTGAATTTTGAACCAGTCACCTTAACCTTATACTTTGAAGTTGAGTCATTAATTTTCAGATAATGATTGTAGAAGGAAGATAAACCAAAATATATGTGTAAAAATAAAAAAAATAAATAAAAAAAGAATGTTATCTTGTTTTATAAAGTATCCTCCCGACAAGTATTTCAGTGCGGACCTGTATTTGATCATGCGGTCTTGGAGCACCGGCATGCCTCCCCTGTGAGGTCTTAAGTCACCTGATTCACGAGCCCTTTGTACTACATTAACAAAGGCACGATGGGTTGGTTGCACTCGATTGGGAAACCGATTCGCATAAATCCGTTATGCCGCGGCAGCATTTTGTCAAGACTCCCCCGCCGTAAATAAGAATCATGTCCACAAGTTCAGCATTTTCGTAAACATGTGCCATTTTTTATTTCGTTTGAGCCACGCAACAAACACCACTATTCACTCACGCGTTACCGACTGACACATTTACTGAATGCAACTGAATAAAATTGTAGTAAAAACATCGTGATAAACGTTTCACATTCTTTCGCTCTTTTGTTTCCGATGCGATGAACCGATAAGGCGGATTATATCCGTTGTTGCCAAACACGAGCACATAATATTATTATTGATACAGGGCGGTACTCAAACCTCTAAAGGGCTATAACTTTGTTACTTTAATTTTACCAGAAAAATGTTATAGGAAAAAAACATTTCTTTTGATCAGATCTACTCACTGTTAAAATAAGTGACTCAACTTCGAAGTCACCCTGTATACACGTTTGGATTAAATCCAATATGGAGGATTCTAAGAAATGTCGGTTTATCATTTCGATAGTAATCCTTATGACATGCGTATCAAATGAAACGACTCGGCGGAAGAAGTGCAATAAGCGAAGTGACGTCATTCTAAGGCTCACATGACGGCCGCCGCACAGTAATTCGAAAAAAATATCAAGATTTCTTATTTTGTTATTGGTAAACCGATTTTTATGAGCCAAATCTCAATAGAAAGCTAAAGAAAGTCTCCTTAAAATATTGTATCAAAAATTGACAAATGTCAAAAATTGAAGATGGCGGCGCTTAGCAGGGCGTCCCTAAAAGGTCTTTACAAAATTTTGGCACATATCGTTGAGTTCAAAATAAGCCGATTTGCAGTAACTTACCTAAGTCCAAAAATGCTTTGATTCCGAGATACAGGGTGGTAAAATTAGAAAATAAAAATACTTTTTTTTAATTCATGAAAATTTCTTAACGTATTACTAATTGGTATCCGGGGTTTTTCTGGGATGCGAAACCCGAATATGGAAATTTTTTCATTGTGGGCGCTTCACACTACACTTCGGATGGTTTTAAATGACCATAACTTTTTTCTCAGTGTGGTATTTACTTCTTTTGTTGAAATAAACAATTTACTCGATATTTTTAAGCAAAAAAAGGCACTCTTGTTAAATTAGGGTATGGTGAGCGGTTTTCCAGAAATTCGCAAATTTCTGCATCAATGCAAGTTGTGGCGATCCTAAATCAAAATGCTCAGAACTTTACAAAAACTGAGTATGTGATAGATTCCGTCAAAATGAACAGTTTTTTTTCCTACAATAAAGATGAGAATCAAATTTAGTAAAAATAGCTGTTGTATCAAAAACCTTATGAAGAAGAAACGATATTTATTTAAGCATTTAAAAAAGTTCAGTTTCTAAGCAGCATACACTACATGCATACACAAGCATACACTACAATTAATTTTAATTTGTTTGACAGCGAAGTTCCGGGAAAATAATATAAATGAAATCAATATATAAAAAAAATACATCACAAGATAAGGTTTAAATGCAATATAATTTTTACAGAAACAGCCTAAGATTAATTTTAACAAATGAAAACCTAACCAATCAAAAGTGAAAATGAACAATAAATAAGCGTTTAAAGTGTCAAGTATAGGGTTTCCATCCCTCTTGATTTGGTTTTAAATGGTTCCAGTGATAAGCGGATTGATGGTATTTTCCAACATATCCAAATAAATGTCTCCATTCAAATTTCTATTAATAAACAATGGCCCAATCAGCTTGTTTTCTAACATGCCTGCCCATACATTAATTTTTTGGGGGTACTAGATATGCCCTTCTACAAAAGCATGAGGATATTCATTACTCCAATACCTGCAGTTATGCTTATTAACAAATCCGTTTAGATACAATGTGTATTCATCACTAAAGCAGATATTCTCTAAACGAATGGTATTATCATTAATCTCTGCAGTCATTTGTTTACAAAACTCCACCCGACTATCGAAGCCATCTTCGGTTAACACTTGCAATATTTTCATTTTGAATGGATGCAATTTATGGAGTTTAGTAGCTGTCTGTAGTACAGAGCTTAATGAAGTAACAGTCACAGCAACAATTTGGAGTAATGAAGTATAACCCAAAACTTCAACTTGAGGGGCTTTATCCAAAACTGATTACCATAACATAGTACCGTATTCAGACGTGTTTGTTTTCGCTCTGACTTTTTCGTATTTTTCTGTGGTTAAAACTGGTCGTTTCTGCACCAATTTATACGTGTGTGGTGGTCGTAATGTGCAGTTGCTGTGAACTATACTTTGATGCAGTGAGCTGCACTTAATCAAGCAGTCATGGCTACAAACTGTGCTAGTTGCCATTCATTGGTAAATCGCTCGAAGCCAGGTATACCGTGCGATGGTTTTTGTGAACAGTCTTTTCACATTTCTTGTGTGGGAATTCCATCAGATGTATTGAAGATAATAAAAACACCTGGTTTATTCTGGTACTGTCCTACATGCTCTCAGCAGAAAAAAGATTTTGATCGAGTATTTATCAAAATTGATGATAAAGTAGATACACTTATTGCTGATGTTTATAATATTTTCTCCGAGGCTAAAGGTCATCTGATAAATAAGGTTGATGAAACTTTGGAACAGACTGTCTCACAAAGGGTCCCGGGTCCAAGTGCCTCATATGCAAATACCTTGAAAAAGACTGTGAACGTGATTGTTACGCCAAAAAACAATGATCAGTCTCATTCTGCTACGAGGCTTAGAATTAGTCAGTCTGTTGACCCTGTAGATAACAATATAAGATTTTCTCAGGTGAAAAATATAAAAAACGGTGGAATACTGATCAAATGTGATGGTTCGGATAAACTGAAGGATTTGGCGTCGCGGCACCTTTCTGCCGATTATGAGGTGAAGGAGGTGAGGAAGTTCAACCCGCGCTTAAAAATTGTTGGAATGTCTCAGTGTATCGAAAAAGAGGAGTTGTGTACAATGCTGAAATCTCAAAATAATGCGTTTCATGCTGAAAGTGAGTGTAGTGTTTTAAAAGTTTGGCCAACAAAAAAATCAGCTACTGTTTATCAAGCTATTTTAGATGTAGATTGTACTACTTATGCTAATGTTCTCAATCAAGGTAAGGTCCTTGTCAATTATGATAGTTGTGCGGTTTATGACGCAATCAATTTAAAATTGTGCTTCAAATGCTGTGGGCTGAATCATTATGCAAAAAATTGTAGAAGTAGTAGTCAAACCTGTGTAAAATGCTCTTTGGATCATAAAGTGTCTGATTGTCGATCTGTCAATCTGAAATGTATTAATTGTGTAAACGCCCGTCATTCAAAAACAGATCACGCTGCCTGGGATACAAATCAATGTACAGTATACAAAAATAAATTAAATGAATACAAAAAATCTATAACAGGTGACATATAGCAACTATCCTGTGTAAATTTAGATTCTGGAATCGAGCATAATGAAGATATTGCTCAATATGATCGAACAGACTTCTGTATTTATTATCAGAATGTTAGAGGATTAAAAACCAAATTGCACACTTTATTCAATGCGTCCTATACTTGTCCTTATGATCTAATTGCTTTGACTGAGACTTGGATTGATGATAGCATCCATAATAGCGAGTTTATGAGTAGCGAATTTAGTGTTTTCAGATCAGATAGGAAATATGTACAAACTGGCCAGACTAAGGGAGGTGGAGTTTTATTAGCGATACATAAAAAATATAAAGGAGTTGCAATTGATTTTCAATGTTCAGTCTCGGAAATTGATGTTGTTGGGATTAGAATTGAACTCATTCGCTGTACAGTTTACCTCCTCCTTGTTTATATTCCTCCAAATCTTACTGTGGAGACTTATGAAACTTTTTTTGAAGACATCCTTACATTAGATTGTTTCAAGCTTAATGATACTATTCTTTTTCTGGGGGATTTCAATATCCCTACATATATAAATTACCTCATTGATAGTACTTACTATAACAATTACATTTCGGTTGTCAAAAATATGAGCCACTTCTTCAATTTAGTTCAATACAATCATATACGTAATGCATATGATCGCATCCTGGACTTAGTGTATTGTAATAATTTTGCGCAGGTGAGTGCTGCATCCGATATTTTACTGCCTATCGATGCCTATCATCCTCCTCTAGAAGTACGTGTGTCTTTTCCCAGTCGCATGAGAAATTTCCATACAAACAGTATTCCGCAGTATAATTTTAAAAAAGCAAACATCCCGGCTCTTTATAATAGCATCATGAATTTAGATTTAACTCTCCCGTCACATATTACGGATATTAATATTGCCTGCGATCTTTTTTATAAACGATTGTATGTTGCTTTTGATAGACATGTTCCTTACACATTGCCGAAAGATAACAAATATCCTCCATGGTTTTCTCGCTCTATTATCTCAAAAATCGGAAAAAAGCATCGTCTCTGGAAACGATACAAGCGAACAAGTAATTTGTCAGATTATGAATTATTTAGCAGTTTACGAAGAACAATAAAAATCGATATTGACATGGCTTATTCAAATTTTGTTGAAAGAACCGAGCGCGCTTTGGCTCACAACCCTAATAACTTTTGGTCCTTCGTAAATCATCGCAAAAATTTCGCCAATATTCCTAGCAACATGTTTTCTGAAAATACTGAGTTGAAAAATCCTGAGCAAATAGTGAACGCCTTTGCAGCATATTTCCAATCTACTTATATTTCCTCCTCGGAATATTTATCTGACTCTGCCTCAGTGAACGATAGTTCTTGCCTATCTATTATAACAGTTCATGAGAAGCATGTACGAAATGCTCTGAATAAGTTGAAACCTAAATGCTCCACAGGTCCAGATTCCATACCGTCTTTCTTTCTTAAGGATTGTGCTTCGGTACTTGCTCAGCCCTTAGCATACCTTTTTAATTTGTCTTTAAAAACTGCAACCTTTCCTGACAAATGGAAAATGTCGAAAATTACTCCAGTTTTTAAGAAAGGCGATAGGTCACATATTGAGAACTATAGAGCGATTGTTATCTTGAGCAATTTGGCGAAAGTTTTTGAGTTTGTACTTTTTGAGGTCGTGTTTTCTCATGTAAGTCGTACCATCTGTACTGGTCAACATGGTTTTTATAAAGGTAGATCAACATGTAGTAATTTAGCATGTTTCAAGCAATACGCTGCTGAGGTTTTGGACAAAGGCGGGCAGGTTGATGTAGTCTATACCGATTTTTCAAAAGCTTTCGACCGTTTAGATCACGGTATTTTGATACAGAAGTTGTCAAAAATTGGTTTAACGTCTAGATTTCTTGATTTTTTCCAGTCATACATTAATAACAGACATTTACGTGTAGATTATCGTGGTTACAAATCATATCCGGTGTTGGCTACGCCAGGCGTGCCCCAGGGTTCAGTCCTTGGCCCTTTGTTATTTCTTATATTCATTAACGACATAGTAAGTGACTTGCGGTGTGAGTATTTGCTGTATGCTGACGACCTCAAGATTTTTAGATGTGTTAATACCTTAGATGATAGTTTAGCATTGCAAGCAGATCTGAACCTTGTACATCAGTGGTGTGAAGTTAATAATATGCATTTGAATGTTGATAAATGTTGCACTATGACGCTAACACGCAAGTTGGAACCGATAGAATCTGTCTTTGAGATTGGAAACAGCTCGCTCCTGAGAGTTTTTTCGTTCAAAGATTTAGGTGTTTTGTTTGACCCCAGAATGACATTTATCGAGCAGATAAATACTATTGTAGCAAAAGCGTACAAAAATCTTGGTTTTGTTATCAGAAACAGCAGACAATTTCATAATCCTAAAACTTTAATCTTACTATATTATGCTTTTGTTAGATCTATTCTCGAATATTGTTCTATTATTTGGTACCCGGCTTACGATGTACATTCCCATAATCTTGAGAGAGTTCAGCGACGTTTCGTGAAGTATTTGTGGTATAAAGAAGATAGAGTTTATCCTGAAAGGGGCTTTCGTAATGACATATTATTAAGCAGATTCAATCTGCCAAATTTAACGAAGCGTAGACATTTATTCGCTGCTACCTTTTTGTGTAAATTGCTCGATGGCAGCATTGATTGTCCTTCACTCTTAGAGAAAATTTATTTACACATACCTAATTTGCGTACTCGTCATGGTAGCAACAGTTTATTCTATTTACCTGTTCCTAGAACAAACTTATTGTTGTTTTCACCACTCTATGTTATGTGTGGCATTTGTGAAAGTGCACGTGCACTTGATATCTTTCACTACAGTAAAGACAGCCTTCGAAGGTATTTTCTAACTGTCGGCTGAGCATGCTGTACTTCCTGCCTGTTCAATGGAGTGTTCCGTTCAGGCAGTGTATTGAATCTAAATAAATAAATAAATAAATAAAACTCTCCGAAGATCACGTTTTTTACTTGCAACAGATCCAGTTTGAGTAAATTTGATAACAAGGTCCAAAACATACCTATTCTATGGATGTCTGGCGTTGAACGTGAGGGAAGTTTGCCGAGCAAATTGGTTTTAGACACCATAAATTAGAATCATTTCCTTTTTTTCGGCTTGTGTGAAAGCCATTTTGGAAGTAAAATCTTAATCAATAACTTAATTTTCACTATCACAAGATTGTCACAAAGGTAACTGAAAGCAAATTAAATTCTTTCTTTCCCTGAGCAACAAATAACTAAACAGGTATAACAATAAATACAGTTCGCCCAGGATATATGTGTTGATGAAAAGGATGCGGAATAAAATTCAGGCTGTTATTTGGTTGTTTCCACGTCTAATCTTCCGAATTGCTCTTTACGTTTCCGTTTTAAATTATAAATAAATTGTAGATTTAGCAAACCCTAACGGGCAACATTTTAAACACTTATTGAAATGAAAGGTAATATTTTCGTGCGGTTTTGTTTTCTATCGGAACAAATTAAGATAAGTAAAGATTTTTTCTAATTTTCTCGAAAACGAATCGACTGATTAAAAAACCAAACGTCAGAATAAGGGACTTCGAAACACCTTTCAAACAAGCTATTACGCGATACCTCTTGTCATTTAAAATTTTCAAGGGAATGAACCTGGATGGCCGAGGATGGAAGGGGGTCAAGTAGTTTTTGATTAAAAAGTTTTCCTCTTTGATCAATCTTTTGACGTGTCTCGGCCTTTTTTTTAATCAGTGGATTTCAATAAATCCATCGTAGGAGGTTTTCGAATGAACACCCTGTATGTAAATTAGATAAAAATTGTAAAAATAAATATTTGACTCAAATACTAAAAAGTGAAAAATAAATGAAATTAAAAACATATATTCAATAGGCTTTTACTTAGCTGTTAATACGAACTAAACGATCAGAAAATAACTTACTTCTTATTATAATTATGCCATCTTATACTAATCAACCTTTAAACGGTGATAAAGTGTTAAAGCTCCTTAGTCGTAAGTTTTCAAGTAAAAGTATGGTATGTTTTATCGGCAGTATGGACAAATTTCTCTAACGATGTTATAATCCCTTAAATCGGGTACATTTGCTTACAAAATATATCCATTTTAAAATAGTCTTTCGTGTTGTTGGCAGTGGGTCGTACATTCGTAATACAGCGTAAATCATTCCAGCCATCCTATCAGCCGGTCGAGGTTCATTCAATTACGCCCCAAAGTGTTCAAGTGTAACCAGTTAAAACTTTTTATTAAGTTAGTCTCAATTTGTGTGGGACGATCGCACGCACACCAACACAAATTCACACAGTAAGTAACCAGAGTATTAATTAAAATATCCTTTTCAAGACTGGCCGTCGGTCGCTGGTGGGGAATTATCGTAATTAATATTTATGGGATGCGACACCGACGTGCCTTTCTTTTATGGCTTTGGGGATGGTTATGGCGGTCATATCGGAATAAAGAGACCTGCTCTATTTCCTAAAAGGGAGTAACTTATTTTAGTAGAATGAAGTAGGTATTATCAACTTTCATTGACAAACGTAGAAAAATCAGGGTAGGAATATAATATGGAAACTTCAGTAACAGGCAATTTCACCAATTTGGGACCAAAACTGAGCGTAGGGCACAAACTAAACCAATAAGGTAATGGATCTGATTTGAATTTAGTCGATTTCTTGTAAAATATC